CAGCGTTGACGTTTAAGAGTGTACGATGCGAGTCGCATCAGTGAGGAAATCAACGTTTAAGGAAGGATACGGTTCCGGGCCTTTTTCATGGTTGGTTCTTCATCCCGCTCTACGGACCACCTCTACCTTTATTTCCAATAAGCTATCTTTCCATCGTAAAACACGCCTTCAATATCTTCAGCTTGCAAACAGGAATGATCGAGCGGGTGAAAAAGTAGCACCCCTCGGAAAAATAGCGCACTTCTCATTGATTACGGCCCAGCCCGTGGTTGAGAGCGGACATAAGTGAAAAGTGATAGTGAAAACGCTAGAACTCATAAAACTCCTTCACATTGTGCCCTTGTTCAGCCAGGTTCCATGGCTTTCGTTGTGAGGAAGAGTGCGGACGAACCTTTTGGAATCGTTCACGCTCCATGCGCCTTTCTTCAATGATCCACGCTCGTTGTTCTTCGCAAAAGAATTCGTCGAGGTGTCTCGTCGCATTGATCGCCGAGGGAACTGAAACAGTAACTCGGGTTAAGTGAATGGGATGATGTGGCAATAGAGGAGAGGGAGCATGACCGAAAAGTGGGAGCCATGCAATGGTGGTTACCTTCTTCCTGATCTTTTGCGAAACTGATCTGTGAGTACGAACTGAATCGTTTTCGGTCACAGATCGTTGGTGCTATACGACGTCATAGTCTTGAACTCTTATGGAAGGGAGCTAAAACGAAAGCTACGCCGCAGAAGGTATGAGCACGGCCTGCGCCACACTCTGAGCAGTTGTGAGAAACACGCAAGCCCAGACAGGATTGCTTATCACACTACGAATGCGGTCCCATATGAAAGAGTCCCAAGCGGAAGTTTGGAGATGTACCTGTGATGCTTGCAGTTTTCCAAAATCACGTCGTCGTTTCCTAGTTTCCCAGTAGACTCGTGAATAAAGCACGATCAAGATCGTCACTGGCAGGTAGAAGGCGGCGACTGCGTACCAACAGTGACGTAAGGATTCGTCTCCAGAAACTGCACCACACATGTTCCTGGCTCCACCGTGAACTTTCCTGAATGGAAGAGATCATTACAATCGAAAAAGTACCGCCATATGAATCTTTTCTTTCCCGGCAGTTGACGACTTTCTGCAACGATTTCTTCTTCATTTCCGGCCATCGATACACATTGCCCTATGAATTCCCAGCAATCTGTCATTTCCCACACTCGACCATCCCATCAATCACACTTTCAGTCTTCACAAGCACATGGCTTTGTACTTTTTCCTCTTATCCTTACTCACTATCACACCGCTCATCGCCGTTCGTCAGTGCAGCTATCGATCACTGTCGCACGCTTGATTATCCTCGATCCTTCACTGATTTTTAGAGGCGTGAAAAAGCTTCCTCACCCATGTGAGATTCCGGCACTCGAATTTTCTAATGTCCTCTAAGCGGTGAACACTAATAGTCCTATTGCTAAAGACTTTGTGTATGGGTGTTTTTCCACTTTTTCCAAGGAACTGTAATTCACGAGCACCAGAAGAACAAAACCACCTAGCGATCGTCCGGTGCTATCGCAATGTACGGGGGTAGCCATTTAGGACTAGGCCTGGGAGGGGGCAAGAATTCCGGAGGAGAATGAAAATGGCTGACGCACTCTCTTCCCCGCCTGAGCTCACTTTTAACAAAAAGTTTTTTGGCTTTCATCAAAAAGGACATGTTTTACGTGATTTTAAATGCATTTCCACCACAATTTTGCTCCCGTTTCTTGCTAGTATAGCGCCGATTGCCCTTCATGCTTGAAGGCAAAACTTGCAGTTAGAAAGTTATTGTAATCCCATTCAAATACGACGTTGTAGGTGTTGAGCTACTCGTAGCTGAAGGAAAACGAAAGAAACCCTTGAGAAGAGAATAGCAGTACTCCTTCTCCAGCCTTGGACAGGTTACTATTGTAAGGCTGCTTGATGGACGAGTTTCCCGAACCGCTACTTTCATGCTAGCCGCGCGGCTCTGCAACGAGGGCGGAACGTCGTTCGATCCAACTCGCTAAATCCGTCGTTTGGCCGCCGATAACGGGTACACTTCCTTACCACGTATTGTTAGCATACACTACTAGAAGAACGCTACAAAAGGGAAATGTTCAACTCCCACCAGATGCGAGCATATTAAAACGACCAGCAAGATGATTGTTACAGAAGTGCTCGATCATACTGGGGTTCATTGCTCACGTTTCACTGAAAAGAAGAATTCAGTGTGGGTCAGTCGGGATGAGGAAGCGGACTACCGGACCAACGCTAATGACAAGCCAAGCTCAGTCATTCAGTGAGGACTTTCGCAGAAGTCAGTAAAAAGAGTTTAAGACACCTAGAGCTCCAGATATCAACTCATTCAGTAAGAATCATCTGCAATTTCTTGGACTGGTTGATGCCTCAGGTCAAGAGGCCTTTAGTAGAAAACACAGGGTATTGGAACAGGATTGAGCGCTCAACCGCAAGGCGAAAATTGTCTAAAAACTATTGTCAACAGAAGATCACGGCATTCCTCTTGGTGAAGTGGCGACATACAACTAGTTCTCCCAGCTCAAATACTATGAAGTGCTCGGTGTTAAATGTGCCTAAGACAACCCACTGTTTCAAGCATAATCAGGACATCAGCTGGTGCAGCTCTAAGCAAAACGCGTCGCCCGCCTCGCTCGACAACACTTACCCAGCCATTTACTTACACTTGTACCCACCCAGGGACGAAGTTTTCAGGAACGTCCGTTTACGTATCAAGGCAGAAAGCGGCCAGCCCAGGGAGTAATATTGTTTCTAATTGACAACCTTCCATCAGTTTTGTTTTTCTTATCTACCACTTCCATCAGTATTGTGGTGTTGCGTTCTCTCGGTCACATTGGTTTTTTATGATCAGTTTATCTTGTAACCACAATTTCCCACACCGTACTCTTATTCTTGTCGTACTCGCTCGCCCAAATGCAAAGGTATAAAGATATGACTCACCCTCAATATAAGGCCAACTAATAATCCACGGTGGCCAAAGAATCACAGAAATGATATAGGTACAGGCAATCATGATCAGGCTTTCCGTGTTGTCCTCCTTCAAAGAAAATCATTCCATTAACTTCATTTTGTTTGCTCAAACGTGAGAGTTGCGGCTCACCTTGGTCTGTAGGAGAGAGGTCGTGTGACGGAAAAGTACCGATCGAACGAGATTAGAAGGAGATTGAGCACCGAAGCGTTGCTCATGAGGTAGTCAACACACAGCCAAAATTGGCACATCGTGTAGCCGATGCCCCACGTTTGCATAGCTGTGTAGTACGTCCACAGCGGTATTGAAATCATTCCTGAATCAAGTGCTTCGAAAAATTGTCTCTCAAAAAAAAAAAATGGTTCAACTGTCTAAGTGATCGGATAATTTTGACCACTAAAGAGGGCGTGAAACACAGAACAGGTACCATAGCAATATCGGCGGACAGCGCCGAGACGAACAGAGAAGTATTGCTGATTGTTTGAAGCTGCTTGTCGATTTTGAAGCTCACCATCACCTCAAATAATACATCTTCGCATCATTTCAGCTGTATTGTAGCTTCAGACTACGAGAACTTTTTTCTTTCTCGGTTGAGCTACTCGAAAATTTTTAAAAGCGATTTTTCGCACAGCTATGAATAAGAAAAAAATAAAATAAAAAACATCTAGGATCCTCAAAATCGCGGCAGCAGCAGTTGTGGTAACAGCTGCTACTGCTGCTGTAGCCACAGTTCTACTCCAGTGTCATTTGAGGATCAATGAGGAGTCTGCAGGAGAGTGTTTGATTTTCCAGCAACCAGAAGAAAAAACCTTACAAAGTCGTCGGTTCCAATTAAGGTGGGACAAGCGATACTTTGAGGTTCAGAAATTCAAAAAAGCTGCTAACAGTTGCATTGTCGTTAAGTGGACTGGCCAAAATTGGGGATTCCTCTTGCAGTATCAACACTTCTTGTATTCTGGCTGCGGAAAGTGCCATCACTCACACTCACTTAGCACACTTTTGGCCATTCCAAAGGGAACAGCCTCGGGCCAAAAATGAAGAAAAAACCCGAAAACGATTGACCACAAGCGGAAGGGACATGGCATATGCAGAGAAAGAATTCGTACGAGTGACGAGAGACAGCGCTGAATACAGCGAGCATCAGAAGCACTTTTTTCTTCTTCTTCCACATCACAATTTCTTTGCTGTGAAGGCAGTGCTGCTGACATACCCAGGTAGTAATAGCTGACGGAGGTTAAAAAACGAAAAAAAATAGGGATGTTATGTCAATAGCAATTCAAATGTGTGTGGTTTTCTGGACCACCCGCCGACCTCATGCCTGTTCTTCGCTATAGACGGATCTCGCCGCAACCTTCGCAGTCAGAGTAAAATGTTAGCGCATTGTTTTGAGTTAATGTTTCTCCATAACATTGCAAATGGCGAGAGAAGGAATAACTTTCTAGCTGTGCGAACCTAAGAAAGAGGGGGGTCAGCGGCCTGTGTGGTAAAATATGCTCCTAAAATGTGCAATGTTTATTTTGGGAAGCGCAGCAAAGCAGGCGAATTCCAGAGAGACAAAACGCTAAGGCGAGTTGTTTGGGGAGTGCCGGTGTTCCAAGAGCTAGGAATCACTTCATATAACTCACACTGCCCACACCGGATTCTTTTAAACCCAAAACTTAATGGCAACCCAGGCAGTAGGCGTTTGAACGCTCTCGCCGATCTTGTAGTTAAAACCTAGGAACAATCACAAATGTAGCGTTCTCGTGCAAAACTCGTGCACGGAAACCGACCGATAAGAGCGCTTGGGCCTTGCAAAGTAAGCTGCCCAAGCTGCAGACTTTTTTCTCTTATCAGGCTGTTGTCTGGCGCTCTCTCATCTGTAGCGCTCTCTCGCCCATACTCTCCTCTCCGCGCTTAGTCTCTCATTCCCTTAGCACAGCCGATTAGGAAGGTGAGTGAGCCCTTAACCTAAGCGTTTTTGACGGATTCTTTTCCTTTTTTCTTTACTGCCGGCCCACTTCCCACCAATACATTCGCATTCGTGTACAAGAGCCACACCAATGTGATCCTGGAGCATGCCTTTAACCGCATCTGCGTAGATTCAAATTAGTGATTCAAATGGAAATTTAAATGTAAGCATCGTTGGATGGAAACCTCCAACTAGAATTGGAGCTCATCAATCGTACTGTTGGAAAAAAATATGATGCAATTAATTGAAAGCATATGAGTATATGTAAATATTACATAAAAGAGCAGAGAAACGAGGTAAAACTGAGATCCACTCAGTAGGAAATCTTCTGATCAATACAGCTAACTTCTGCAACAAACTCCATGTGAAAGCCAATGATCACGATGGCTGGAGGGCGGCGAGGTCTTCGAACGTCATTGATGGAGGGGAGAGTGGGAGTTGGTTCCAACCACACCGACACAGCTCTTTTACGAGCCTACTCCATCAATGACGTTCCCACAATAACGACATCATCAGAGCTCTTTCACTATCTTCGAGAAAATTAGGAATAAGTGTGCGCGTTCTAGGTAGACTTAGTTCTCTATCTACTTACTTAGCACCTGCACCTGTGCATAGTTGCGCCTCTCCAAAGGACTTTCTAGAGACGGTGAATCAAACGAACCATGAGATTTCCGACGAAAGTCACGATGGCGAAGACGGCTCCGAAGACAATGATGGCCACCATACGAGATTCATCGCCGTACGGGAAGTCCGACACGTCTACCGGTACCGTCTGCGACGTTGCATTGTCTGCTGATGTAGACAGCAGCTAAAAATATCAGTAGTTGACCTATTATGGGGCGACGTCATAGGATTTCTCTAGGAAACCGTGTTCCTTTGGACGAATAACTGAAGTTAAAGGTAAGCTTCGGGATAAAATGGGTGTAGAGAAGCGTTCACTTATGAATCTAGAGGTGGGAATTGGTCTGAAAAAGAAAAAGAAAAGTAAATGGGAGTCCCAATCACGTCTTGAATAAGACCTCTCCTTGAGGCGCAATTCAACCTTGGAATAAAGAAGGCTCTGGACCGAGTTCCTCGAAGCCCAGCTCCCCGTTGCTCCAGTGCCAATGACATTGGGCCGCAATGCAACCGCTGCCTCAAGTGCACGCGAAAACCAACATCGGAAGGCGGGGCTCGCGTGAAAAGGTGCGGCGTTGTGGTCGACGAGCTGCCCATTGTCGCCCAACTTTCAACAGCCAAAGGGCCTCACAATCAAACGCTTGTGTGCCGCTACAGCCCCGGGATATGAGCATGAGCGCCCACCAAATCGTGGAGCGTGTCTTTGAGCCACAGCAGGAAAATGCCATTCGAAAAGCTCACAAATTGTGTCGGACCGGTTAAGGAAAGTTGCAGCAGTTCCGTTAGTGAAAGAGGAGTGCGGATCAATCACAAGATCGCTCCTCAATCTCTTCTATTGGTGTGTTTGTTCGACTCTAAGACTCCGATTTATTTTTTTGTGAAGCTACTATTATGTTTTGCATAGCAGCCGTCGCATCGGAAAGTGACTTATCTAGCGCAGTAATGTGGATGGTCAGGCACAGCCTAAATCTGGATAAAACTTGAACCACGTGCGTGAGTTGCCCCATTTCGACACTACTGGGCCGGTATTCGTATCGCTTGTATTCGGTAAAAATGTTCAACGCAAAACCTGAAAGAAGAGCCAAGAGCAAAACTAATCAGTGCTGTTCTCTTCGTCATTCTTTATAATTTTGACTCGCAGGAAATAATCGGACTTGGGACTAAAAAAGGTTCTGAGCCCGTCTTCGGAGTCCACATATTCTCAATTCTTGCGACGTAAATATTGTCTAAAATTAAGGGTCGATTGGGCTGAGATTCGATGAAAAGATGGATTCTGAAAAACTCCAAATTTTGGCAGCCTTTTGCTTTATGTGAATTTTTCGTCGCCTTGGATTTCCAACATCTAAGTACCATGTCTGAGCTTAGCAACAATATAGAAGAGAATGACAAACAAAGGTGTTGTATAGCTGAAGAAGTGCTTTCAAATGATATACAGTAGCGGTCAAAAGTGTTCGCCGAAACGATTTTTAGTGCATTATTTTTTCTCGCTTGAGCAACGCCCTCCAAAGATTGATATACTATGTTTTCTAGTGTTTTTATATCCTCAAGTCTTGAAGAATCAGGATATTCAAAAGAAAAAATTTTCGAGGTCACCATTATTTTTTCTGGCAAAAAAGAGAAGCACGAAAAATCGTTTCATTTTTGACCGCAACTGTATGTGGTTTCCCTGGTTACACTTGTATTCAATGAATTTGTGCGCTTCGAAAAAAAAGAAACGCTAGAATATAAGAATATCTACTCTAAGAATATCTATTCGCTGATGTGTTCAGTGGTTATACAATGCTAAAAATTGGTCTGGAATGAATTACAGCTGGAACACCATGCTTTTCAACGTTCCGCGGAGGAACCCAGATGGTCGCCGACTCTGACGCTGCAGTTTATCCCTGGTTCCTTCAAACTAAAAACTGTGTCGGCTAAAGTCTTCAATTCTTGATTTTTCCACACAGTAAGAACTGTCGGATAAAAGTGGTGTACTGGCATTTGGCGCTGCGCACCACACGCACGGTCCGGTCACCAGGTCCATGGTCGTACGCCGTCCAAGCCATCTCCGTTGTCGGTACCCCAGACTTGGTTGTTTTATTGTGTCAAAACACCAACCCGTAAACCGGCTGATTCAGCAAGACTGCATCTACCTGGAAGCATATCTACCTGGACGCAT